ATATGCACAAGCTGAAGAAAGTACTCACGAGACTAGCGGTGCGTTCAAACTTCTTCAGCAATAGGGTAGTCAACTCACGGAATAAGTTACCACAGGAGCTGGCAGAGCTGGGGGAGCGTACATGCTTTCAAGAAAGAGCTTGATAAACGCTTGTTTCATGAAGCAGATGCATAGTTTATGGTCTGTTAGAAGCTATGGGTTTTCTCATTTACTTACCATCCCAAATAGGGGAGCGCTTCCAAATGTGAGGTCTCTCGCCCGAATAAGGGGAGAACATTTTTCCTTTCTCTTCCATTGCAGAGGGGGAGACGATTTGGTACGAGAAGAAAACGCGCATAACTACAATACAGAACACTCACAGTGGTAGGAGCCAACACGTGGCTTACTACCGAAGGAACTCTGGACGCTCTATTGGCCGTGGCCATCTCCTGTCTTGTGCAAGCTGACTGACCGACTGACTGACCTTACACACGCTCACGGCACAAACGTCGTAGGCAGTAACAACCTAAAATCGTGATCTCAGAACTTCTGAACCGCCTAGTTGCAGTAGAACAGGGAAATAAAAGGCTGGAGGTTGAACTAGCCCAACTCAAGCAAACAAGTGACACAGCATTCGGTAGGGATACAAATGTGGTAACACACGGCATCCCGGAACCCACGATGGAAGAAGGTAGATAAAAGGACCGGGAAATGAGGTACCACGTCGTAAATCTGCTGAAAAGTGTAGACCACACAGGACNGCGCCTGAGACACTTGTCAGGAAAGGAAGCAGAGCAAGGCAAAGCCTCAGGTGTGTCCTTGTGGAGTTTGCGAATTCCAGACATCGGGATTTGTTTCTCGTGTCCGATGGAAAGATAAGTTCCGAAATCAAAGGCAAGGCGACTATCCCGCAAGATGACGTGATCCAAGCTAAAAACCTTGTAATCTCAAGCTCACTATAATCGCCTGGTTTTAATACCGCAAAAATGGGTCAGCTTCAAGTGAAGTTTCATCTAGTTTAGTCTGCTACGGAGCTCCAAAAAGGCACCAAGGGACCAGACTCTGCATTGCAGCACTATCGATGGGAGAATAAGCTTGAATGCCCCATGAATTAATATAGCAA